TTATACAGTTCAGCAAAAAGAGCTGTGTGGGGTTAAGGGATCAAGCTGTGCTGTCACAATTTGTCATAACGTTCTAAATCTGTGTATCTACACTGGGGCACGATCTGATGAGTTGTACCAGTTATTCCCGCAAGCACTGAGGATGGGCATGTATGTATGTGGGGGAAAGCCTGCTTTATCCGATGGATTAGGAAACAGAAGAAGCCTAACAAGTGTTTTGGGGGCAGGATGTTTCACGGCATGTCCCCAGACGATTCCAGGGAGTCGGCAGGTTGCCTCCCTTGGTCAAGTTAGTGATTAAAGCGTTAACCGGAGCCTCCTGGAGGTGGAACCGTGACTAAGGGCGGGCTCCTGTCAGCGCTTGGAGAAAGGAAAGTGGTAGGTAAATATTCCCGACGTGCACCGAGGTGCGGGGAGTGTCCTGGGCTTCCAGCATTCCCAGTTTGTTAAGCAAAACAATAATTACCAGCCCGGTGGGTCCCGAGCAGCAGCAGCGGAGGCGGCTGTCCGCGCTGGCCATGCTGCCATGCCCCGTTCGCGGCTCAGGGAAAGGCGTGTGAGACTCCTGCTGCGCTTCTCCTGCTCGGATCGCCCGGCCAGGTGAGTGCCGAGGGCGGCTGGGGCAGCTCTGCTGCGCTCTCGGGGGAAGCGAGGTGTGCTTGCAGCCACCCGAACTCCGGGCACACTCCTCTGGGGCATGGGGGTGCCCGGGGGGAAGGAGAAATGCCCGAAGGACAGGAGCTCCCAAAGGCCGTGTGAGAGCCGGCTGAGGCTGGGCGGGCGGTCACAGGTAGTGCCACTCCTCCTGTGCCCGTGGCCAGGAGCCCGCCGTGCCCTTCATTCGCTCCGGGAGTGACCGGGGAGCGACAGCGGTGACCTTGTGCGCTCTTTTCGGCGGCTGGAAACGGCCCGTGCCGCTCGGCTGCGGGCACAAAGTAACTTCTCCTAAAATGGGGGAACACAGTGTTTGAAGGGGATGTGTGCGAGCCCCGCTCTGGCAATGCCCGAGGGGAGGGAGCGTGTGCGCGTCCTGCGGTGTGCTTGGGAAAGTTAAGGGGCCATATTCACATAATCCAATTTACTGCTGGTTTTGTCAAATCCCATTCCGAGCCTGCCTGAGCAGAGGGCTTATGCTGTGATTGTACTCAAGGAGTGCCCTTAATGCTCTGTACTGAACAGCTAATTATTAAAATAAGGTGTGAAGAAATCTGAAAGCCCGAGGAAAAAAAAAACAAAGCCCCCTTTTTTTAGTGGGGAAAACACAGTTGTTCAGAATAAGTACTTTTTTTAAATTGCCACTTTTTTCTTTGGTGGTAGGGACATCTAACATAAACAAAAAGAACAAAAAAGGGGAATGTGAAGTCCCACAACTAGTGTATGTGACTAGTAAAATTATTCTGCTGATACTGAGTTTATCTCTCAGAACAAATCTTAAATTCATCTTTAAAGAAACTAGTCAGGATCGAAAAATTTGCTAAATACCAGCCACTTGTGAGTTTAGAAGATGACTCAGCTGGACATGGTGTTGTGCCTGTGTACAAAATATTTTATGTGCGTGTAGTGGATAGCTGAGTTAACAGGCAGCTGAGCCTTGTGGTTTCTGTAAAAGAAATAGAAGAGATTTGCCCTATCCTGTCTTCCTGTGGGTTTGGAAGAGCTTTGGGGAGTGCTGGGTTAAAATACCTGGGGGTCTTTGCTGAGCTTTGGGGTTTCAGTTTCTATAGCAGGGGCAGAGGCTCTGCACAGTGCACTGCACTCTGCGGGCCCTGTCTTCAGATATGGATGCACCAGAAAGCACATCCAGGTTCCCCCACAAACTGAGCTGCTGCCTTGCTGCTCCTGCTTGGCTCAGTTCTGGATCCTGGGTGTCCCTCTCCTTCCTGTCCTCCTCTGCTTCTGCCTTTTTTTATCCTTGTCTAAAAATCTGTGTAGCCATTTGCTCTTAACTTCTGCTTTGTCATTCCTGCACTCTACTGTGCCTGGTCTGTCCCCTTAAGTAAATGACTTAAATATCACTGTACTGAATAAAAGGGAGTAAGTCCTCTTATCTGCCTCTGCACTGACACTTGGACTTTTTCTTTGGGGGGGAAAAAAACCCCATTTCAGGTAAGATATGAATCTTACAGGCAAGTACATCTCATTACCTTTGTGAGATTTGTCTTGTGCCCTGATGTGCTGATGCTCTTGCAGCTTTGAAATGTGCGCTGGTCTGTTCCCTTTGCTTTTCCTAGACTCCTCCAATAGTTGCAGTCCTCCTCTAGAGATGCTCAGTTTGCAGGCCCCCCAGTTTTCATGTCCTCCTGATTTTTCCTTTGCTTTCCTTTCTGTCCTTCACTACATATTTCGGGCTTCAGTCAGTCTTCTTCCAAGCATTAGGTTTCTACTTGGCTAAGTCTCAGGCCAGCAGTTTAGTCCAGCCAAGATCCCACTTTCCTAACCTACCTGAGGAAATTCTGCCCTTCTAATCCAGTTTAACATAATGGTAAAGACACCTGTGTGATACCAAGTAAGTCAGGAGATGGCTTTGGATAAACGGCACAGGCAGATATGGCTGGAGTGGCTGGAAAATCAGCATGGTTTGGTTAGTTCAAATCAAAGGGAGCAGTGGAAAAGGCATTTCACTTCAGTTTGCTTCCTCAAAAAGGACTGCAGGGAAATGGCATGGAAAGCAGCAGGATAGCAGGAGGTGATGGTAAATGTCCCAGCTTTGTGGGTTTAGGGAGTGCCAGTGCAAACATCCTGGCATCTGTTGTGTCAGGTACTGCTGCTGGGGAAGGCACTGTGCCATGGCAGCCCATAGGTTTGGGTCTTGGCTAAAAATAAGTCAGAATGTGCCCATGGGAAGGGTCCAGGGAGAAGAGGTTCACCTCTGCAGTGAGCTGGTGCTGTGGAAGTGTTTGGTGCAAGGCTGATAAGCACAGCAGGTCACATAACTGAGGAGAACAGTGGGAGTTGTGCTTCTCCCCCAGCCACAGCAGAGAAGGCTCTGTCCTGGATAATGCAGCCGTGAGGGAGAGAAGGGCTTTGGTGAAGAATTGTCCCCATCACCACCCACTCTTCCAGTTAGTTTTATTTTCAGCATTTTAATGGCACCTGGCTGATTTAAAATCTGTTTAGGGTGTTTAAGGCAAATAATTTACTAGGAGCCATCCAGTGCGTAGCAAAACACAGTGTTCATCTCTCTTGTGTGTGTGTGTAAAGGTCACTTCTCTCTATATGCAGAGGTCAGCTTTTTCCTTCAGAGGAATCATTTTAAGGCCAAACAGTGTAGAAAAGAGTGCAGCCACAAGCAGTGAAGCAGTGCTGGAGCTCTCCAGTGTCACTGCTCTACCGTTAATAGAGGTGACTTGGCCATCTACTGCTCTTAACATGTTGTTTCCTGACAGGTGCTGAGGTGTACGTTCAGTTATTCAGGCGCCAAAGTACATAAACTCCTCTGCATCTTGTAAAAAGGGCTTGAAATTATACTGACACAGGCAGCTGCTTCACTTAGAGGTCTTAAGTAAATCCCATAAAATCAGATTTCAAGGTGTGGCCAGTGGTTACTGAAGTAATTTCGGAGGGAAAACCCAAGCAGTGGTATACAGCAGTGTATTCCTCACACACAAACTCATGTCTGTACAGAAGTCCCTGGGCTTGTTTGGCTTGCAGGTATGTTTTTGTCTTGATGGATGTCACCCAAAGGACAAAGGGACTGCTCCTCCTTTTAGTGAGCCCCTGACAGAGCACTGCTAGAAACACCAGCTGCTCAGGTAAAGCTCATTTTGGTAGTGCACCCTGGTTTTAGGGGTTATGAAATTACTTCCTATATATTTTGTAGGGTGAATGTCATGGGTTTTATATGCAAAACTTCTCACTTGTCCACATATGTTGTTTTTCGGAAACTATTTATCTATGATTTTGGAAAATAGGTGGCATCTAAAAAAGCAGCTCAGTAGTGCAGTATACAGAGGTGAGGTGTTTACTCTTTGCCCAGCCATGATCTGTTCAAGGCTGAATGTTCCCTAAATCAGTTTTTGGAAGGCTGCTTGTCATGAGGACTATAGACAATCAACCACTTTTCAGACATCTTTGACCAGGCCCTATCCAATGCAGTCTGAAATCAGATTCATGTCAATCCCCTGGCATAAGGGACAATGGACATCGAGTGCTGTGAGTCGAATTCCTCTGTCATCTTACCCAAATAAGAGAAATGGAAGTGGAATGATCAACTTCCAGTGCAGTCTTTGGAGATGTTACTGCTTTTCATGGGATTCTCTGAGGTTTTTTCCCCAGCCATGTGTGATGCCACTTGTTCAGTTAACTCCTCAGTCTTCCTTTTATTCTAGTACCTGAGGGTGAAGGAAAGAGCCTAGACTCCATAATTAAGTTTATTGAGGAATGCATTGTTGAAGTCTCGTGGCTCTGGCTCATTGCCTGCATAACAGGCTTGAATCCCAGTGTGGAAACCTGTAAATTGTACTGCTACCTCCCTGAAATTACTGTCTTGTTCTCTCTTTGCTTTCTTTGTGTGCTGCAGGACACTGCTAACCATCACCACTCCTTCCCTTGCCTAGTTTTAGGAATCTGGATGGGGTGGTTGTCAGAGTCGCAGTGTGTTTTGCTGTCCCTGGGTCATGCTCTGTCCATAGTGGACACATGGATCCTGGCCAGTATCTCAGACTGCTAACAACTCAGGCATAATCCTGGAGTGGAACAAATCCTAAAACTGCTTGAGAAAGTCCTGGTAGATGTAGTGCTTGGGATTTAAGGTGCTGTTATACACTTGATGGGAATGGCTTATGGCTTTTTTTACTATGAGTAGGAAATACTTGGGTAATAAGGCTAAGTATAAAGTAGTCAAAATATGGTGTAGTGAGCCCTCAGCTTGACTGTCCCAGCCTGTGTCACTCAGCCAACTAAAGCTTTGTGCCTGATTACTATTCCATCTTTTGTAGTAGCAGTAGTGGATGTATTTACTTTTTTTTCACCTTTTGCTTAGATTCATCTCTTCTGAGTAAATGAAGAAAGTGATTATGAAGGCACAGCATCTGCCTTCTGTTTTCATCAATGAAGAGAAGTTCGTAACCAGGTAAATTATTAAAACCCTGAATATTTAATGAGTTTTCTGCTTTCTTTCAAGTGATTCCACATGTCTTCCTTGACAGGGGATCCTGTACACAGCTGAGTCTGTAGCCACAGCAATCCCTACCACTTAGTTTAAGCTGTCTACAGAGCGGAGATGGCCTTCACATGGAATCAAAAGAACAGAACATTAAGCCTTAGGGTCTGTGGGATTTGTTCCTTAAGGAGAACAGCCCCTCTAGAGGATTCTGAAATAAAATTACAAGTTAGGGAAGAAGACCTTCTTGTCTTGGAGATGTGTTGGAATTGGCCCTAAGTTCCAGAGTTGAGCTCAGCTTGCCTGCAGCCTGGGGTTTGGCAGCCCTGGATGGCAGGGTATCTGTGCAGAAAGGCTTTTGGGCTGCTAGCTCTCTGCTGTGGTCAGAGCAAGTGTCTCTTTCACCTACTTGTAGAAAAAGCTCAGAATTGCAGTCTAACTGTCATTTGTGGGATGCTTTTCCACAGTTCAGTCTCCCTGGGAGGAGTTTTTCCTACTGCTGCCCCAAACTCTGAGCCACCTGGCCTTTAGCTCCATCCACTTTCTTAGGGAATTGTTTTTTGCCGGGTGACAAGAGTGCAGGAGCTGGAAGGAGCCTCTCTTCTCTCCCCCCTCTTCATTTCCATGGCTCTTAGTCCTCCCATGGGAAAGAAACTACCTGTGGACTCAGCCAGGGATGGGTCTGCAATGCAATTTATTGTGCTGCAGGAGAGATCTGTTCCTGACTCCTGATACTTTCCTGTGTGGCCTGGGCAGTGCTGGTTGCTCCCTTTCCAAGGAAGGCTGTCAGGGCTTTGCCCGGAGCACACAGGCAGCAGATGCATCACTCCCTTTCTCTTCAAGAGTTGTTCCCTTTATGCTGCTGTTAGTTTGGGACACAGTGCTTTTGTGTCAGAGGTAATTCATGTGTGTAAACTTGGCATGCAGAAGCCTTTGGAAATGTACCAGGTGAACCAGAGTCTCTGGGGCTTTATTCCTCTATGTACTTGCCTGTTCCTGTGGTGAAATGTGCATCCCAGTTGAGACCTTTGTGCATGACAGCCATGGTTTAAACTTTCTTCACCTTGCATCAAGGGAAATAAGTGTTTCAAGAACCACTGGCATTTCATATGCACTCAGGCTTGCTTCCAATGCAATTTCCAGGCTGTCATCCCTCATCTCTGCCTTGAATCTGCTGTTACACTGCTTCTCTTCCAGTTCTATCCTGCAATCTTGCTGATGGGGCAAGCTTGCTGTTTGGGAATTGCACAATGGCTGCATCAAAAGGCTGACCAAAGGTTGTGGGATGATTTGGCTGGCTGAACTGCTGCCTCTCCAGCAAAACTGCCATAAATATTCAGGGATTGTGTGTAGGGCTTGGGCAGGAGAGAGCACAGGTGAGCTGTCCTGGTTTAGTGTTTCCAGAGAGCAGCCTGGGCTCTGTTGTGGTTCACCACTGGGGCACTTGACCTTGCAGCTCCTTTGTATCCTGCATTTGCTACTGGATAAAGTGGTGAATCTGCAGTGCATGTTATGTTTTTGGGCTGAGTTGTTCTGCCAGTTACTTGGCTTTGGTTTCTGTTTATGGCTGTGTTTGGCTGTTGTCACAACAGCTGCTGATTTTCCAGACACCAAACCCAGCAGAGATGGCATCTGTCTCTAGGTTAGGGCAGCAGGAAGATGTGTTACAGTAAGGCCACTCCTGGAACTGGGCTGGTGCACATATTCTCTTCTGGGGCAAAAAGAAGGAAAATGGTTTTTTTCTCTTATGTTTCTACTACACAAAGACAAACAAGTCAGAGTGAGCTGCTGGTAATCTCTCCCTCAGGGCTTTTGTAATTGCTTGTGTGGTTTGTCACTGTTGGTTGCACTAATGCAAGGCTGAAACCTGAAAGATCTACTTATGCAAACTCCTGAGGAAGGTAATGGCAAGTTTTTCTAGACAAAGCAAGAAACTCTGTGAAAATCTTGAGAGCTTGGTCTGAGAAACCGAATCTGCTTCAGAGATGACCCTTATCAGACCACTAACTGTTGTTAGTCTATGATTTTATTTGCCTTTGCAGTCAACATGGACTAAAAGTAATTGGTGAGCCTCAGAGTGTGCCCCAAATCCTTAAGTATTTCTAATCCATCTTCAGGGAGCTCACCTTCCCAACTTCCTACTTGGAAAAAACCTGTGAGATAACAGCTGTCAATAAATGATTGCCAAATGCTGTGAAGTGCAAAGACTTGAGTTTGAAGCACCTCTGGAGCAGGATCAGCAGGTCTGTCACAACATCTGTCAGACAGAACTGCAGATCTATCTCCTATATGCCTGGTAATCCTGAGCTGCATCTGGAGCTTGCCTGTGTACGAGGCCAAGGCATGCTTCATCTTGCTTTCATTTGTCTGTAGCCAGTTCTGTGATCAGAGCTGGGCTTGCTTCTGGTTCACATCCAAACCTCCTTGCATTTCCTTTTGGTGGATGGTCTGAATGTGGTCCCTCACAGAGACACAAAGAACCTGGAATGAGCTATCTCAACCCAGTGCAAAGAAGGACTTTTGCCACCAGTATTATGAGGATTAAAGAACAAAGTAAGTTAATGTTGAGAATCCTTGTTTAGAATCCAGTTGATAAAGCTAGTTAAAAATATTTTTTATGTGTGGGATTGCAATAATGTAAAATAAATAATTTACATCCACAGAATTAGCAGGGAATGCAATGAACCTTGAGTTTAGTGCTGCAGCCCCTGTCCTCGTGTTACGTGCTAGGATAAAGCCCAGTTGATCTTTTCCCTTCTCACCATGGGAAAAGGCTGTCTGAAGCAACAGGACACTGTCCTGTTTATTAAGTGGAGAGGGAGGGATAGGTGTGCCAGGGAAAGCTCTCCGCGTTCATCTCTGCTTGGCCATGTGCCCCAAGCACAGCCTGGACGTGTTACCTGCCCCCCTGGCTGTCCCTGGTTCCTCTCTGGTGTGTGCACACCTGGGCCTCGGGGAAAGCCACATTCCTGGGGCCTGTCCCCATGCTGGGCTGTCAGTTCTCTGAGGCACTTCTTTATTTAAAACTGGTGGAGGAATTGTAATAGTGTTTCTGATGGTACATGAGTTGTGAACAGCTCCAGCAGCTCTCTGAGGAATGTGTGCTGCAGAGTTTGCAGGTGCTGTGTGTTCTGTCTGTGGGCCTGCTGTTCCAACAGCTCCCACAAACATGGAAATAACAGGCAGTATTTGGAAACAAACTCAGTGTCCTCACACCTCACTGCGAGGCAGGACATGAAACCATCGTAATCCTTAGTCCACAAGGAAGGATTTGTACACTTCCATGCAGTTGTTCCCCATGGTTAACCACCTCTGCTGCTGGGAATTGCTTACCTGAATTACAGTCTGAGCCATCTTTAAATGGTGTGGGGAAGAGTGTTTCATTCTCATGGCCTCTAAATGCATTTCAATAATTCTGTCATTGCTCAGCCCTCCATAGCCTGAGCTGCAGCTGGCTTTGTCTCCACGGCTCCTTGTTCTTGGCAGAGGTTCTCCTCATCTCCTTCCTTTCTCCTCTCAGCAAAGACATGGTGCAAAGCTGTTTTGTTTCAGACAGAGGGAAATAGAAATGTTAGACACCCTGTAGGTGTTTGGAGATAGGAAAAGTATCTGCAGCAGTATGAGGACTGAATGGAAGCCAGCATGCAGGGAAAACCAAGTGCAGCCTAGTTAAAGCAACCTGCAGCACTGGTGCATGGGGATGTTGTTCTGTTTGCTTCCTCCTCATGACTGCTACAGAGGTGCAAAGTACAAGCTATGCTGGGGCAGCATTATTAATGTCATGTGAGGCTGACTAATTTATTTCCTCTGGGTCATTAAAGGAGCAACTTATGTGCAACCCAGTAACCTGGCAAAACTTTTCTCTCAGAAAATAATGTATGGATCATTAATAAACCTATACAAGGGTGCAGAGGATAGCACAGTTATGGGGTGTTACCCTGCCATGTACCACCTGCATTTTACAGAGATGTTAAAAACATTTCTTTTTCATTGTGATCTTCATTCTAGAGAGCAGCTCAGTTCTCTTCTGAAGAATTATAACTCTTACTATTCAGATCAAGAGAATCTGCAACTGACATATAATCAGGTAAGGATTTAGGGGTGAGAAACTCCACTAATCTGGACATCACAAATTAGTGCTCCCTTCTCATCACAGCACTGGACTCCAGCTCCACTCGCTGTGGTGTTGTTATTGCACGACAGGTTCCATCTAATGTAATAAACCAGAACTGGTTTCCTGAACTGATCAGGTCAGCCTGCAGCTTTGGCTGTTTTGGAAATTGCTCAAAACTGAGGTTACACATTCTCCAGGTAATCTGTTCCAGGGCTGTGTCAGCCTCAGAGATTTCATTGTAGTCCTGTTACTTTGAGGGGAGACAGATTATTATTAGTTGATTATTTTTACTCCATTATTATGCAGCACTGACTATTTCCCTGTTTTTCTCCAGCAGGAAGGAAGCACCCCCTTCATTGAAGGAATCCTGTCGATATTCTGGGGCGTGCGGCATCCTATCAGATTAAAGATTCAGGATGAGAAGCAAATACCCTCTTTTGTAACCCTGAAGTCAACAGAGAATGTGGGCTTTTTCCCCAGTAAAAGGTAATGGATGGACTTCCCTAGGGAGGCTAGCATGCAAGATAGCTCATGTTGTGGCTTCAATGGCTGTGGCTGGCTGCCCTGGATATCCCAGATCCCCCAAAGGCCGTGGTGGTTGCTGGACAGCAGAGCCTTTGAGCAGCCTCTGCTGGGCAGGAAGGTGTGTGTTTGTAGCACCTTTGTTTGGCCCTCAGCCTGAGGAGCTGGAAGGAGGCTGCTCTTTTTTATGGGAACTGACAATTCCTATACAAGGACTGGGAAATTGGTGTATTTAAATGTATAGGAAAAGAGCCAAACAATCCCCTTGTGTTTCCATGTGCACCTGATACTGGTAGCCCCTGGGAGGCCTCGTGTTGGTGCACACACTGGAGCATGAAGCCAGAATCTGGTGGGTAGTGCTGAGGGGTTGTCTGTCCCAGCTTACAGGTATGTGAGGTCTGCAACCATTGCTGCTCAGGTGAAGTTCAAGTCAGGGAATGGATACTGGCTTTGTCTGTGCAAAATTTGGTCTAGAAACGCCTTAAAATACTCACAGACCAGCTGTTCCATAAAATGACATTTTATATCCCAGTGTGTTGTGCTCAGCTGATACAGGTACTCAGTGTACTTTTCCCTTGTTTTGTATGCTGTTTCCCCAGCCTTGGTTGGTGAATTTGATGAGCTGAATCTGAATCTTGTGATACAGAGACAGAGCCAATGTTCACCCTGGATGACTCCCTGATAAATTGAGTATTGCAGAGTTTATTTTTCTAGTGACTTATTGTCTTAGGTTGCATGTGAGGCATGTTGGAACTGAACTGGGGATTTAATTCTGCCACCTTTGCAGCTGTGGAGTTCCACTAAAGTCTTCTTCTCCATCTCTGGCTGCTGAAATTCAGGGATGAATTTTGACAGGAGTAACTAGGAAAGAACCTGAGTTTTAGGCAAATCTGGCTCTCAGTTTACCTCGACCAGGTCTGCTGGTGTGGGGTGCACGTGGCCTGCAGGGCAGTTCTTTAAAAACTTCTGGCTGGTGGAAATCTGTATGCTAAAGTAAACATTCACTCATGATCCCAGAAACGTGGGGCTGCCCTGACATGCTTTAAGGTATGCAGAGCAGCTTGGCTGTCTGATCTTAAAGGAACTTGGTAAATGTGTGCAATACAACCAAGATCTTGTTTGGCATGTAAATTGGGGCTAGCTGAGTATTGTTGGGAATACATACATATATATATATATATATATATATACACACATATGCATATGAAATTAATTTTTAATATTGCACTACAATCTGGTTTATTCTCAATCAGAGCAATAATTGGATGAAGACCTTATGCTGAAGAGTTTGGGCATAAGTTTGAGTTAGCATGATTTAATATTGACATCTGAAAGGCTGGATGGAACTTCCTGCTCTCATACATGGCTGGTTTGGACAGCATAAGTGTAACCTGTGTAACTCTGTTCTGTAACTATTAAACAACAATATGTGTGTTTTGTTTGCCTGCCTGGTAGTCTGAGTGGGATTAATCCAGGATGTTGCTGTAATACAGATGAGGAATTACTGCAAGTTGTTTAGGTTGTGTCCTGGTTGATGTTCAACAGGTTTTACATTGGATGTGTTACATTTGGGATCCCTGGTAATACCATATTTTAATATGAAGTTGTTATGACTTAAACTAAAATTACCATGCTGAAGTCTGTATGTTGAGCAGGAATAGGAATGTATGACATGACCCGTGGGCACAGGATAAACTGCAGTCACTGAGTTACTGAGGAGCAGTCAGTGGTAACTCCATGTTTGTCTTTCAGGGGAATGACTCGCTGGGGAGAGTTTGATGACCTTCATCACATCAGCGGGGATACACTGAAATCTACTGAGGAGCAGCCAGACCTCGAGCAAAGTTAGTGTCGGTGCTCTCAGGTTAACCAGGTTAAAATTCTGTGTTCTGTGACAGTGCAAAAGGCCCCTTACACATCAGCCCTTCATTGCCAGCCAAGGGAAATCTCTTAGCTGTGTGCCACATGTCCTGCAAGCTGGGGAAACACCCACCTAGGGCTGCTTAGGGCTCTGCAGGTGACTTGGTGAACAGCCAGTGGCAATGAGCTGTGCTTTCATCCAAGAAATCATTCCCAAGGGAGCAAATCAGCAAACTGCAACCCCTGCAAGCAGCCTATTCTTCATCTTATGCCTCTGCCTTGTTCCTTTCCTGCTCCACCCCCCCAAAAATAACAAATAGTAAACAGTAAATGAAGCCCTTCACTGAGAGCCTCCCTCTTTTGGGGGTGCTGGCAGCTGCACAGGACTCGTGGTTCTCTTCTGTCCAGGTTATCCATGCTATGAAAGTCACGCTCTCAGGTCCAGGAGGGAGCAGGAGCTCGACTGTGCCACCCTGCCCCGCAGCAGCAGCGATGCCGCGGCCGTGCGCAGGAGGACCAAGCTCCCCACCATCACCAGGACAGAAGTAGAAACTCACAGGTTCTCTATCAATGGCCACTTCTACAACCACGAGGTAGGAAATTTTAGGCTTGGCTTTGTCACCTGAGGGACAGGGAGCCCTGCCCAGTGAGGTGTGCCTCAGGCTCAGGCCGTGGTGTGGCTGTTCTTGTTCCCAGACATCCGTTTTCACTCCGGCTTTTGGGTCAGAAACCAAAATAAGAATCAACAGCCAGATGAGAACCAGACAAGTGATAGAGCAGTTGCTTCGGAAGTTTAAGGTAAGTCTGCTGGCAGGAGAAAGCGTGGCCGTGTTCTGGAAGCGTTCATTCCCATGTGCACTCCCTCCAGCACTGCGGGAAAGATGTGGAATAGCTGGGCGAGGACAGTGCACGGAGCGGAGTGTAAAAAACCCAGATGGACAATTTTAACCTTGGCGGTGCTGCCCTCCCGCGGACAGCCCGGGAACTGCGGCTCGCCTGAAACAGCAGCGATTATCCCAGCGCCGCTCTGGGACGCGCTTTCCCTGGGAGCCGGGCGTGTGGAAAGATGGGAAGGTTACAGCTGCAAGTACTGCTCGAGGCCAGTGCCATGCTGTCTGAAACTACTTATTTTTTTTAAATTTCCTTGGAACCATCTCCCACCAACAATGTCGTATGTGGTCAGAAGTAGCTTTGCCCTTACTGCTGCATATTTCTCAAATATCTTGATTTTCCATGGCTGCTTAGTGTTTAATTTATACTTTAATGGTCTTAAACTTCCCATTTAACTTGTCTGGAGACTTCACTATTACAGAATTACTTTGTGTGGTTAGTAAGACTTGTGAGTGTCTTGGAAGGAAAACAACTTCTAGGAGTAGCAAGGAAGGGAATTACAGAGCAGGGAGTAGAGTTGTAGGGAATACATTGCAAAGTAAGTGTTCAAAAGCTGTGCTGTTTTCAGGATGTGGCTGTCAGGCACGAGGGTAGGTCACAGAGGTTTACCTTGATGGCAGCACAAACAGCAGATCCACCTGTGAGGGGAGAATAAGCTCTAGGAAGCAGTTAAGGATGCTGCAAGGAAAGCAGGCAGGACAGATCTGGGTTTGCAGTGTGTTTCTGGTTTGGGCACATGGGAACACAAGGGTTAGGGCTGGCCCAGGGACAGTGAACGTGGCAGCACAGCTTTCTGCCTTATCCAGATCCACTGTCTTTAGCTCTTGTACAGACAGGATCCCTGTCTCAGGCTTTGATCCAAATCTCTGAGCTGAGACACACAGGGAAAATGTGCTGAGAGGGAAGTGCTGGGAAGGTCTGTGAGTCTGAATGGAATTTCTTTTTTTTCACAGATAGAAAACAGCCCCCATGAATTTGCACTTTACGTTATCCATGCATCTGGAGGTAAGCCAGCCACTGTGCCTGAGCACTTCAGCTCTGATCATTGTCTCTGTGTGTGGAATGTGTCCCTTGGAGTAACAGGACTTGTGCCAGGCCTCTGTCCTTGTTTGTGCACTGTGTGTGTGCTGTGGCATTTTGCCTTCTCAGGGACCCTTCAGAGATGTCTCCTCTGGAGAGGAAAAGCTGAATAATTGTGTGTATTTCAGCTGACAGCTTTGCATTGCATATGCTGAGTTCAAAGTACTCACTGGTCAGTGGAAAAAGGTTACTTCCATAGCAGTTTACTTTTCCAGGAAAAGAGAGATTTGATCTTTATTAAAGGGAACACCTGAGAGAATAGGAGGGAACTGGGGGAGAAGGTATTTTAAATGGCACAACATCAGGGACCTGTTGGGTATCTGGTCATTGCACTCGAGTCAGTATGGGATCCTCGTCAGGTAAAAAGGCTCGTGACTGCAGGTGGTAGATGGAGCCCCTGTGGTTGGTTCTGTGTTTTGTGACACTGCTTATACATTCCAGAAAAGAAGCAGCTGAGGAGTAGAGATGTTCCCTTGCTGCACAGGCTGCTGCAGGGGCCCTCTGAGAAGGTTGCCAAGTTCTTTCTCATGGATAGGGACGTGGAAGAGATCAGCAGTGATGTATGTATATCCTCACTTCTCACAGCTCGTGGAATTTTCCTCGGTGACCACAGTCAGTAGTGCCTTTCTTGTCTTCTCCTTGGTAGGTGGCTCAGTACATTTCATTCCATCTTCCCTTCTTGGAATCCATTCTGCACAGAATAAATGAAGAGGAGAAGCAGGAGATTCAACAGACAACTGCAAGGTAAACAGACACAAAATGAGGTGTCACAGAGTCAGTCCAGGGCAATCTGTACAATTGGCTCATGAAGAGAAGATATGAATGTAGCAGAGTACAGGTGGAACACTGTGATGGGAAGGCTGGAGGGATTGGGAGGGTTTGTAATCCTTTCCCTATCCTGCTGCTCTTAAAGATTCCATAATTAACACTGACTACACACAGAGTGGGGTCTTCAGAAAATTTGGACCCTCAGGGTAACTTCTCTTTATTTTGTTTGCTGTTTGCTTTCTGGGCCTTTGACTGGCTCGGTCGGTACTTGCTGCTGTTCCCTTGGAAAGGGTAAATGCAGTAACACACGTGGCACCATTTTGGTTCTGTAGCATTTCAGCCCATCAGTGCCTGATGTCCCCTTAAAACTTGAGGTGAGTGATGGAAATGCCCCTGGCAAAAAGGGGGATTGTCCCACAGGTACAAGCCAGAGGAGCTGCCATATTTGTGAGCCTCTCCTGAGTCCAGGAGCACCAAGAGGCTGCAGCAGCCACAGATCTGTTACTGCACGATGGGCTGATAATCACCTTGAATCCAAGTGTCAGGAAACATTTAGAAAATACCAGACTTGCCTGCATTGGGGAAGTGGGACAGGGCCAGAAAGGTTGGGAATGGACCCACATGTGCGCAGCTGGTTGGAATTTGGGCTGAAGGTTTGCAGAGGTTATTTCAATGCCTTCCCCCTCTCAGGTACACACGAGAGAAGAGGCTGATCCAGCAGCACCTGCGCAGTCGGAGCGTTCAGAAAACAGAGACCACGGTGTGAGGGGACGGCCCTGGAGAGCACTGGGAATGCCCCTGGAACGCCTGGGCTGCTGAAGGACAGTCCTGCTGCCTTCTGGGCTGGGACTGAGCAGTGACAGTGCCCCGTGGGAGAAGTGTCCCCTCACCATTAACCCCTGCAGCGCTGGGGTGCGGGCTGCAAGCACCCACAGAGATGCACATTGCCCAAACTGCAGATGCTGGCTCTGACTTGGAACTTGGGCAAAAACTCCCCTGAAAAGCCCAAGGCCTTAAATCCTGCTGATGTGTGACCTGGCACCAAGAGGCTGGCGTAGAAAAATGCTGCAATAACCAATGTGCTGATAGAAAATGTGCAAACTAGGAATATGGTTATCCCTCTGTTAAAGAAATGTTGTGTTATATCAGCAGAAAGCTTTTCAGTAGAGCCAAGTGGCAGAAGATATTTATGTATTTAAGACTGCAGGTAGGATTTCCATTTAAGTTATAAAACATGCATGCAAGATGCCTGAAATCCACGGGCTTCAGGCTGGTGGATGCTGAAACTGCTTAAGCTTTGAGCTGCTGTTACAGAAACATAACTGGAAACCCTCCCACTGAGGAGCTGCTGAGCTTTTAGCAATGACAGGGAATTTATTGCTGAAATACCTCGTGCACTGCAAAGTAAGAACTGGCTGAACACTGTGGGCTCCTGGAAGGCACCTCAGTGGTTTATGCAGTTGGAATTGCTGATTGTGTTCCTTCCTGAGTGTTCTGTTTGACGGGGAATGGAGGTGCTCAGTGAGAGGCCACGTGTCACAGCCAGGGAGGGCTGGGCCCACGGCCCCCCCAGGGATGCAGTTTGGCTCCAGCCCAGCCCCACACAGGGCACTGCAGCCCCTGCCAGGTCCTTCCTGCCTGAGCTGTGCTCCATCTTAGAGCTCCAGTTACAGAGATGTAAATAAAATAAAGCTGTGCACAGCTCTTTGTCCTCCTGCACTACCTGGTTGTCCTTACCTGGTGTCTGTGCCTTACCTCACTGCCTTTGTCTCGTGCAGGTAACAAATGCTTGTGAGGGAGGAAAGGGATGTGCAGAACATGTGGCCTCGAAATTGTATGGAGTAAATCAAATTGTAAAACTTTACACTGCCCAAAATCCTGTCACTGGGATGAGAATTCAGAAAGTAAAGGTCAAGGTGCTGATATTGAAGCTCCTCAGGTTGCAGCAAGTGTGTTATTTCAAAGTACAGTTTATAATCCTGCCCAGGAGAATGGGTAGGGACAAGGGAGCACAGAGGGCAGAAATAACAATAACTCATGGTTAAGAGGTAGGAATTAAATAGGCCGTTTTTGTCACCATCTGATGTTCAAGGCTTGAATCCTTTTCAATTCTCTTGTCTTGCTGAATTGGGACTGAAAACTTTGGGCAGACAGAAGTTTGGGGATAGGGCACAGTCCTGGTGCTGTTGGCCAGGATTTCAGGGTGAGGGCAATGGTGCTGTGACTCCTGCGGGGCTGGTTCTTTGTGAGTGCTGTGCTGTCTAAATGAACCATTTCTGACAAATACAGGCAGGAGCAGGGGAAGAATCTCTTCCAGGGTATTCTGGGACACTCAAGGAAACACAGCAAGGACACACAGGTGACAGAGGAGAGGGAGGTCACTCAGGTTCGAACACGAAGTCATTGACTACAGAAACAGTGATTACAGTCCATATCTTACCTGAATTTGTGCATTTGATCTCATTTGCACTTCATAAGCTTAGGATTTAAAATGCCTCTCTTTGTCTTGTTCTGTGACTATTTCAGATAATCTGATAACATTTCCTACCAGAAGGTGGTGGCCACAGCCAAACTCTGAATTTCCATCACTTAGCTTATTGTTTCAGTGGATTTCCTTATGGGCATTCAGCCTCTCTCTGACCTAAAGGTGGCTTTTTGTCACTTGGTTTGCTTTAAATGCTCCCTGTGCCCTTTGTGCCACTTGTCCAGCGAGGACCTTCCCAAGAACTGTGCAGCTCCTTATGCCGACAGCATTTTCTCACTCCTTTGGGTGAGTTCTGGACCCTGGAAAAAGGAAAATCCCTGGGAGCATCAGTGTCAGGAGGGTGGCTGGTGTGTCTGTGACACGTTCAGTGCTCATTAGGCTGGGGCTGCACTCGCGCTAATTAATGGGCACGAGAGCAGCAGGCTGGGTTCGGCCGAGCTCGGCTCGGTTCGGCTGAACTCGGAGCTGCTCGCTGCATTCGGAGCTCAGCTCGGTTCGGTTCGACCGACCCCGTAATGTTCAGGATGGTTCCGCTTATCTAGTTCGGTTCCACTTATCTAGTTCGGTTCCGCTTATCTAGCTCGGTTCGGCTGACCGCGGTTCCGTCCCGTTCCGTTCCGTTCACCTCAGCTAAACTGGGATCGACAAATCGCGGCCAGGGTCGGCCCTTCGGGTACGCTCGGCTGTTCTCGGCCACACTCGGCTGTTGTCGGCTCCGCTCGGCCGCACTCGGCTCTCCGGCCGTCCCTGACTCTGCTCCGCGGTGCAATGGCGGCCGGTGTCCGGGCCCCGCTCCCCGGCCTGAGCCCCGTGAGGGGACAGAGCGCCGGCACAGCCGCCTCAGCCCGGGTCACCGTGTCCCTGCCCGGGCCCGCGTCCCCCGGAGCGCGCCCTGCAGCGCAGAACGCGGCCTCGGAGCCTGGAGCGGGGCCAATGGCCTTGGCTCGGCAGCGGCGCCGGGAGGCGGCGGGCGGTGCCCTCAGGTGAGCGGCCGGAGCGGAGGGAGCGGGGCCGGGGGCACCGGGGCCGGGGCGCCCACAGCGGGACGGGGCTGCTTTGGGCGCTGCTGCTGCGGGGGACCCGCTGTGGGTGGGACGGGGCTGTCCCGGGCCCTGCGGCTCTCTGGGATCGCGTTCCGTGGAATAAAGCTGGGGCTCGTCCCGGCTGCGGGGGCAGCGCTTTATTGTGTGAGAAACAAAGTTCACTCTTTAGAATTTTTACACGTTTGTTAAGGGATAAAAGGCAGCGCTGGTGCTCCTGTTTGCCAGGAGCACCCGGTCACCTTAAACCGTGTTCTCTAGATTCTGTTCCATTGCAGTGCTGTGTGCATATTCATTAGAGTTTATACATGTTGAAACAGTCCTTGGAGTTTAGGTGTTCTTTTGCTTGGTTTTAACCTTCATGCCATCTTGTGGATTAAACCAATATACTTTATTTCTTCCTGTGGTGCCATCCTGTTTTATTTTCACTCCCTCCTTATTTGATAACGAGGGTCAATAAATTTTTCCTCTTTTTTCGGTGTTCTGTTTTCTGTTTCTGTTATCTTGTGTTTCAGATAAGATTGTCCCCAAATGTGGGAAATCACCTAATTATCTTACACCATTTTCTGAGTTCCTTACATGTAAAAGCATTTTAACATTTCAGAGTCTCTATTATGCTACAGTCTAAAATAGTATCTCTTACACTGCTATTTACAAAAGCTCTGCAGTGCACACACGAACTGACAGATGATACTTTATCAGGAGCAGTAGTTACAGATTGTGCTCTCTCAGGAGTTCTGTGGTCAATAACATGTGCCAGAGCTAATACACGAATGGCAGAGACAATAACTGCATTTGTTGTGTTTCATTCTGGGCTGGGCTGGGCTCTGTGTCCCGGGAAGCAGCGGGATGGGTGTCCCTGTGCCCACCCCTGGGTCCCAGAGAGAAGCTGCTCCTGTGGCTGCAGCTGAGGGGCACTGGGAACCCTGAGCAGTCCTGATGGAAACCGATGGCAAACCAGGTTTTGTTGGGTTTGGGACTTGCCATTTTCCCCTGCTCCGTGTGTTTTGCCTTAGGAAACAGGAGCTGGGCACGGAGACATTTTGTTACCCTAGAGGGGACGAGTTTGTTTGTATTTATTTCCTGAGGCACTGGAACGATTTGGGTCTCAGCTGGCACCGAGAGCCTCCTCTGTGTCCTGTGTGGGTGGTGGAGATCAAAGGGGTCAGAGCTGGGGCAGGAGGGTGGGCAGAGAGGAGAGCAGTGGTTCTTTGGGGATTGCATCTGGAAAGGGCCCTCAGGTTCCTGCTGGGAGTCCTGGGAACAGAGCTGGGAGTGGCTGGGCAGTGAGGACGGTGCAGCCGGAGTGCTGAGAGTGCCGAGGCTGCAGTGGCTGTTGCTGCTGCTCTCCTGGTGTCCCATATCCAGTGCTGGGCTGGCACCCGGGCACCTCCCAGGGCTGGACACCCTCGGGGCAGGGGTGGCTTTTAAATGTTTTAATGCTGCAGCAGCTCCCTCAGACTGGATGGGTGTGAGGATGTCCAGCTCTTCCTTAGGGCTGGGAGCGTGGCAAGGGTGCAGAGCTCATGGTCAATCTCGTTTAAACGCTTGGAATAGCAAAATACATTAAAACAGAGACTTTGAGGAAATAACATAGGTGAGTCTGTTGCAAGGATAGGTACAAGCTGTCTTTATTACAGATCCACACTGCTGGATGTTTTGTCAAACCCCTCTGGGGACAGCAGTGTCCCCAAAGGTTCGTGAGCCCCTTGTTTCCTGGGGCAGGGCAGGGTGTGCCCCGGGCTCGGGGCTGTGTGGCTCCTCCTGCCTGGAGCAGGGACAGCCCTGGGGCTGAGCCACAGAGGTTCAGTTGTTGGAGCAGCTGGGGATGGATCTCTCTGTGCCTGGGAATTGCTGTTGCTGCGTTGCTGTCGCAGCTGCAGGGCTCCCTCAGAGCCCGGGCCCGCAGCAGCACTTGGGGCTGCTGTGCTGGGCAGGAGCAGCTCTGGGCTGGGCTCTCAGTGCCATCAGTGCCCGTGGAAATGCAGCGTTGGTTTCACTTCCAGCAGCCTCTGTGCTGTGCCACCCTCGGTGCCAGGGCACAGAGCTGTGGGGAGGCTCCATCCCATCCGTGCCAGGGCTGCCAGCGCTGCCAGCAGCAGTGCTGGGGCACCAGGGGCTGCCTTTGGAGCCTGGCTGTCACACAGGGTCACACACTCTGCCCTGCAGCCCCCAGCTGGATCCTACAGCCGGACAGTTCAGCCAGCAGGGATTGGAGTCAGCTCTGGGGCCCAGAGCAGGTTCTGTCCC